AAAAAAAACAGTTAAGCAAAACCAGACATATCGGTGCATCTAAGAGTATATGAAACATTGTACACACCTATAGTCCCCTACTTCTCCAGTGAAAGGAATGAAGTACATTATAATTACACAGGATTAGTTTTGGTTTTATTACTCCTATTGTTTATCTTATAGACATTATATTGTTTCTTAGTTCCACTTTAGTCTGCCTCAATTCATAACAGTCTTCCCATATTTCTCTTAATTTCTTACATTCATTGTTTCTTATGGGCAATAGTATTTCATTATATTCATATACCACAAGTTAGCCCAGTCAGTGGGCACCCCCTTTGTTTCCAGCATATATTTCAAATAGTTATACTTTTGTTTAATTTGTTATTCTCTGCCTAGTGAAGATATCCATCTGGCTTTGAAGAAGCTATTAGTCTACTCTTAAAATTTGTTAATTTCTGGCAGTTAATAAATCTTGACACTTTTTGAAGACATCAGAATTACTGAATCATTCCAGCTTTTTTAATAACTGATGACCATGTTAGAAAGCTAGGAAGGAAAAGAAATCTGATTGATCAGCTCAAATCTCCCATCTCTTTCATTATTTTCAAATTATTTTGATGGCTTTGTAAATTTACTTCTTTTCTAGTTATATGAAGCATGTCGATACCTTGCTGCTAGGTGTCATGTAAGTATGTTTTATTAAATTTTTTAAATTAAAAGAGAATCATGTTTTAAGAAAAGTTGAAATAGTGATGCGATTTAGATCAGTATAATATTGCTATATCAGTGTTCATATAATAATTAAAATTGGTTTGTTGAGTACTTTAATTAATATGGTGCTATGTTCCTCCTCCCCCGACCTCCCCATTAATTTTGGAAAGCCATTATGTATATGAAAAGATTGCTCTTTGGAAAATTTAAATATAAGCAATGAAATGGTGTGCCATTTAGTGCCCTTTTAAAATTTAGAACAATATTTAGTGGAGCTTTAGTGATCACTCTTGTTTAACATTTTGTAATTCTCTACATAGTTTGCTGCAAAGGAACACCAGCAAGCTCTTGATATCCTTGATATGGAAGAACCAATTAACAAAAGATTATTTGAAAAATACTTGAAAGATGAAAGTGGGCTAAAAGAACCTTCTAATGACTGGGAGATGTCCCAATCTTCAGTAAGTAGTAGTTTGGTGTGTGTTTGGTTTTTTCCAATGCTTGTTCTTATGATTAGGGTAAACATTAATAAGTTGTAGGAATGTTATGGAAAAGTATCATGTGTGCTACATTGCAAAACTAAATGGCTTCTTTTGTACAGTTGTAAGCAAATAACATAACTGCTGTATTTTCTATCACCTACTTTACTTCTTCTACCTTTCCTTTTCATCCTTCTTTCCTCGAGGGTAGTATAATGCTTTCCTGTCCTAGCAGGCATTAAAGCTATTTCTTTAGACTGCTTAAATCTATTTAGGATTTTTCTCTTTCCCACAATCCCTCCTTCAGCTTCTTGTTGCCTGGGGACCAGTTTGTCCTCACTTCTTTATTTTTGTGAGTTCTTTGGTTACTTTTCTAGGGAACTTTGCCTAATTAACTTATTCTGTTGTATTCAATCACTTTTTTCTTAGGAAATATTTTAATATGCAGTAGGAAAAGTCTGTAAATAAGGTGTTTTCATTGCTCGACAACAATTATTTATAATATGTGTTCCTATATAGCCTCAATACCCTGTAGCAATACATAGTACACAGTTTCTATAATATTAAGGTGGTAACATTTTTTAATGAAAGTATTTAATCTCCTTGCCTATGGCTTACATTTGCTTGCTTAATAGCTAATGGTATTTTAAATAGCACTTTAGGTGAAGTATTATTGACCTTATTTTATGGGTAAAGAAACTAAGTTTCAGACAGATTGACTTACCTGTAGTCACACAGAGTCAAATTTGAACCCAGGTTTCTTGGTTTCAGGTCTTTTCATCCAACTGTACACCTTTGGATCTATAGTCTACATCAGAACTTCTACCCTATTCATATTACAACACATCTGCACCTTTCATCCTATACAGTGTTTATCTATAAATCTTCAATAGATGACCTATCAGCAGACTAGGCTTAGGGGTGGGGAACCTGTGACCTCGAGAGCACATGTGGTCCTCTAGGTCCTTAAGTGCGGCCCTTCAACCAAATCCAAACTGCAGAACAAATCCCCTTTAAGGGATTAATAAAAGGGTCACACTTGAGGACCTAGAGGATTTATTTTGGGTTTTCCATTATTTCATGAACATTAGTTCAGGACTCAGTTCTCTCTCTGTTATCCCTCACTCTTGGAGTTAGGTCTTTCCTAGACATTTATGTCCTTGATGCTGTTACTATTTTTACATTATTTTAAATTATTTTTCAAATGCTAGTTATTGTTGATAATATTCTGTAGCCTACTTATACCCACCAAATGTATTTCTGTTATTCTTTAAATTACCTGCATTTAAAATTTTTCTGAAATCCTAGTGTTTTGCCCAATCCTCTAACCTTCAGCTTATGGTCTCAGTAGCATAAGATATTGGTGATAAAAAGATAGACTTTTGTGGTAATTGAAAGCATTATAGTTTCCCAAATTCAGTCCAGCAAGATCTCCTATTAGTCAATTCTGAATCCATTTCACTGTCCCATATAAATTTCTGTCCAAGATATAAGAACTGATAGACAGTGGGTTTTCTGTCCAGCGTCATAATTTGGTCAGTGGGTCATTTTCATCCACTTTTTTTTCTACTATGGATGGCTAAAAGAATCTTGTGGGTGTAGCTTTCATTTAATAAGTACTGTAATGTTCCAGAATGCAATATAATCAGGACTATGGCATTCCCAAATAAAAACATCTGGAGAAAACCTCTGATCTTAGGGATTCCATCTTCTATTCTTATTTTGCATAGAACATCTGTCACATAGTCAAGGCCTTTTAGTATGCTTCCCTATGTGAAGCCCTATTTGACATTCACCTGATTTATCCAAAGTTATCTCTATTGTCTTATCTGTCAGAGAATATTTTATGATGGTAGCATGTATGTAGGAAATAGCTTGTTTAAAGAGAGTCTTTAAATCTATGTTTTGCTCTACCAAGTCAAATTTTTTTTTTTGTTAATCCACAATTGATACAGCCTGGGGTTTTATATTGCCTTCCCCTAACCTCTTAGTCCATTGCAGGACATTGAACATGTCATATGGTCTGATATAAAATGTCTGCTCCCTTCAGTTATTTTTAGAAATACAATATGTGACATTTCAGTTCAAACATTTAATAAATGCAAGTGTGCCAGTCATTCGAGCGCTGGAGATAGAAAGCTAATAACAAAAAATTCCCTCTTCTTAAGGAGCTAATGTGTACACAGGGAAGTAAATACAAAAATGAAAAATTGGAAGAGTGTTTAAGAACAGGAGGAAAGGCAGCATTAACAACTGAAAGTATCAGGAAAGGCCATTGAAGGGAGCTAGAAGTTCCAAGAAGAGAAAGAAAGGACGGAGAGTGTTCCAGGCTTGGAGGACAATCTGTGCAAAGGCATAAAGATCTCAGATGGAATGCCATATAGGGGGACCAAGTAGGCCAATGTGAGTATGTGAAATGTGGAATAATTATGTAATCAGTCTAGAAAAATAGATTGGAACCCGATTGTAATGGACTTTAAATGCCAAAGAGAAGAGTGCATTTTTTAATGCTAAAGTAGGAGTTTACAATAACCCTTTTTATGCCATGGACCCCTTGGGCAATTTGAAGCCTGTAAACCACTTCTCAAAATAATCTTTTCTTTAAAAATTCATAAATGAAGGAAATGTTAAATTCTAGTTAGAGATTAGTGAAAATTAAGATGTAAATTTTTTCCTAGCCAAGGTCACAGACACCCTGAAATCTAACAGCAGATCCTTTGGGAAACTATGAACCCCAGGTTAAGAACCTTTGGACTAAATGCAGTAAGGAGCCTCTGAAGGTCCTTCAGTGGGAAAGTAACATGACAGACCTGTGCTTTAGAAATATCAAATTGGCAGCTTAGCTGTATGAAGAATAGATTAGAAAAGGGAAAGACTGGATACAGAGTGAAAAATTAGACTATTTCAGTAGTCCAAGCAAGAGGTGACGAAGTCTTGAATTAGGGTGGGTGTGGTGTGAATGAAAAGAAGGGAATAGATGTGGGAGAAGTTGTGGAGGTAAAATCATTGAGGCTTGCTCATTTGGGCCAGTATCAAAGATTTTATAAAGATGAGAAAGTAGACACATTTTAGTGCTTGTCCTTGAAAGCTAGAACCCTGACCTAATACTTACCTTCTTTAAATAGAGTCAAGTTTCTTTTTCCATATCCCTTCTATTCCTTATTAACAAATTGTGAAATGATACATTACTAGATTTTTGTTGTGTGTAAATTACAGTGGGGAGTTAATAAAATATTTTTGAATGCTGCATTACTCTTTTAGGTGTCTAAGGGTTGCTTCTTGCATGGAAGGAATAGTTTATTAAATAAAATCATAGAATATTATAGCTAAAAGAACCTTACTGATCATTAATCAGTTTTTTATTTTATATATGAGGAAATTGAAGCCCAGAGAGGTTATTACCCTATTGGGTTACCTTTTTTGCTTTTGGTAATACTACTGTTCTTGATTTTTTTTTTTCCGTTCTTTAAGATTTTTCTTTTCTTTGATAGATTTTTAAAAAATCAACCCATAACATAAATGCCTTTACTTTATGCCACCTTTAGTTAAAATTTCTTTTATATATTTGGTCTAACAGTTCTAACAGCTCTTTCCTTCATCTTCTTAAGTGCCATTCGATTTCCTTATTGCATATTCACTGCTTAATTGGGTGGAATCCATTTGTGGTAGGTCCTACTGTTGCCTGTCAGAATGAAATAACATCCTGTTGTCTGTCAGAATGAAATAATGTCCCTAATAGTTTTTTAAATGCGCATTTAATGGACTTTGAATAAATCAGGTCACTTTGCCTTTGTCACTATCTCAACAGCATTAACAGAAGAAACTGATACATTGTCCCTGAGTTATATCATTCGTTATTTGCAAAGAATTGTATTTATTTGTTTTGCAGGAACAAAATAACATTTAAACATATTCTATGTTTGGAAAGAGCATTGAGTATAAATAGGGATTCTCAAAGTTGATAGATAAACATAAATAACAGCATATATAACACATGTATAACTGTTAGCATTAATAGGTATCTGTAAAAGTTGGGAGTGTTTGTTGGAGTAATCAGAACATATCAAGGTTCATCTAAAGAAGCATCTTAACTTTTGTTTTCATACTTCTGTTGCTCTGTAGCCAATCTATTAGAAAAAAATCCCATTAGCTATAAAATATTTTTCAGTCATTCACTCAGACTCTAATACGTTATATTTTTCCACCAGATTAAGAGTTCTATTTGCCTTTTACGAGGAAAGATCTATGATGCTCTAGATAATCGAACCTTAGCAACTTATAGCTACAAAGAAGCCTTGAAGCTTGATGTCTACTGCTTTGAAGCATTTGATCTTTTAACATCACACCACATGCTGACAGCACAAGAAGGTTTGGAAACTGAGGCATTTTTTTACATCTTTTACATCTGTGGAAAATTAAACCTACAGAATTTGTATTCAGTCCATTTAGCTGAATTTAAAAAATATTTTTTATTAAATATACAAAATCAAGGAAAGACTTGATAAGATTGAACAACTTAACTGTTAGGGTATAGATAGATGGCATGATGTAGTGAAAGAGCCCCAGACTAGGAGTGAGAGCTGGATTCAGGTCTTAGTCACATCATTTACTGTTTGACCTTAGAGACAAGTCAGCTCTATTGAGAGTCAGTTTCCTTATTTGTGAAATAGGGATAAAACTTAATGTACCTACCTCAAGTGATTATTAGAAGATTTTGTTCAACTTGTGGAAATTTCTTTAACTCCCCATCTCAAAACTTCTTATTATCATTACCTATTCTGTCCTTCCCTCCTACCTCAGAAGAAGTATCCCCACTCCTTGCTAAGGTAAATCGGCTTACATTTTTGTCTTCCTTCCTACCCCCTCCCCTATCCTTATCTCCTTGAGAATTAAATGCGGTAGAAAATGTAAAATCTTCTAACCACCAAGTACTAATACAAATGTAGATGGCCCTTCTCCAGATGGCATCAATATAGGGGGCCAGTTATCATTGTACCTAGGCCTTTACCATAAGATTTTGATGTGAGTTGGAAGAATTCATAAATGTAGAGCTAGAAAGGACATCATCTAGTCCAGCCTCCTAATTTTACAGGTGAGGAAACAATTCTTTTTTGAGAGAGCTGGAACTCAGTATAAAAGAAAATGGTAGTATTTAATTTCCTCACTTTTGTTTTAATTAGAGAAAGGAAACTGAAGGACCTTAGCATTACTCTGGGAGCTGAGAAATTTGGTCCTTGCACTTTTCTGTAAGGTGAGGATGGTCCAGTATATATTGGTCCCCATTTCTGTTTTTTTTTCTAGTGTATATTGAGTCCTTTTTTGAGTGACTCTTTACGTAGGGAAAACATTGGAAAGAACATTTTCCTATTGATAGATTTTTTTGTCATCAATATTACAATTTTCACAATTTAAAAAATTTTTCATAGAAAAAGAGCTACTTGAATCCCTACCTCTTGGCAAGCAATGCACAGAAGAACAAGAATTGCTACGTTTTCTTTTTGAGAATAAGTTAAAGAAGGTAAGTAAAAATTCCATGACCACAATGCTCATAGTTAGTTCTTGAGCCCTTCATTCTGCTTCCCCCTTGTCCAGGAGAATTGGACCTCTTCTTTTTTATCTATTGAAGAGTCTGATCATGGAGTTAACAGTCCTTTGTCTCCAAGTAGGCTTTCCACCCATGGTTAAATTTTAGAAATGAAAATAGTAAGGAAGCTTGTCTTAGTACTTGGGAAATCATATTTTAATCCATTTATCAAAAACCAAATAATTCAGAACTATATAAGGTATTCTATTTGCCTAAAAATATGGATATTTTTAAACTAAAGTCAATTTTAGTGCTTGTCCTTGAAGGCTAGAACCCTGACCTAATATTTATCTTCTTTAAATAGAGTCAAGTTTCTTTTTCCATATCCCTTCTATTCCTTATTAACAAATTGTGAAATGATACATTACTAGATTTTTGTTGTGTATAAATTACAGTGGGGAGGTAATAAAGTATTTTTGAATGCTGCATTACTCTTTTAGGTGTCTAAGGGTTGCTTCTTGCATGGAAGGAATAGTTTATTAAATAAAATCATAGAATATTACAGCTAAAAAGAACCTTACTGATCATTAATCAGTTTTTTATTTTATATATGAGGAAATTGAAGCCCAGAGAGGCTATTACTTCCTCAAAGTCACATGATACATTCTTAATGCTAGAAAAAAGTGAATGCAGCTTCCAAAAGTTCTGTACTCCCAAGGAATATATTACTGAGTGTTCACCATGTCTTTTAGTTAGTGATATTATGTGAAAGTTATAAATTTCCAGTTATTCAATCATAGAAAACCATACTGGCCCAAATGAGCAAGCCATACCTTTATTTTTGAGAGAAATTTTGTTGAGTCCTTGAGTTTTCTTGTCCTGGAAAATACAGTCTGCATATGGTGAGGGAAAATTGCAATACTGTGATTGTTACATTTATCCTGTCATTAAACTTTAAGCAAATGAGAAATAATAGGCCCTCTAGTCTTCAGTTTACAACACCCTCTCCTGTCTTTTCTTTTGGTTAGCTGATGAATTTGTGTGGCCATAGCTAGTATTTGTCTGCGTTATTTTATGAATAACACATGCCATGTAGGTATACTTCACAAGGTCTTATTCTTATCAGTAAGAATAATGCTTATTACAGACTGTTTTGAAAATCTGAGTTACAAATGTTGAAAGGCAAGTATAAAACAACTGTAATATGTATCTATAAATGGAAATATGAAGGCCAGAGAGGTTTTGAGGTAACTAGGTGGCCCAGTGAGTAGAGAACTAGGCTTAGAGTCGGCATACTCAAATATGACCTCAGGTTGTATATTCCTGGGTAAGCCATTTAACCTCTATCTTCCTTGGTTTCCTCACCTATAAAACGAGGATAATAGAGCACCCACCTCCCAGAGTTATTGGGAGGCTGAAAATTGGATATTTGTAAAGCTTTCAATGTGGTTCCTGGTATATAGTAAGCAATTAAATAAATATTTGTTCTCTTCACCCACTCCTTTCCCCTTTTGATTAAATTAGAAAAATTACAAAATTAAAAAGAATTTTGCTGGAAATATGGAATCTGTAAATTGGTAGGGACCTCAGAGGCTACTTTGTGCCATGTTTAATTATTTGTTTAAATGTTATTAAATGTTTTTTGCCCAGTGTCTTTCACCCTTTCTGAAATGAAGTATACAAATTACTAGGGGACTCAGATGTCCCTAATTGAATACTTTAAAAACTTGGGCAATTTAATTTTATCATATTCTCAATTAATATAAAAATATTTTTCTGTGTTTCAGTATAATAAACCTAGTGAAACTGTCATTCCTGAATCTGTAGATGGTCTGCAGGACAATCTGGATGTGGTAGTGTCTTTGGCTGAAAGACATTATTATAACTGTGATTTCAAAATGTGCTACAAGCTGACTTCGGTGTAAGTATCTACAGCCATTTCAAGACATTTGTTCTGTTAGTTAAAGCCCTTTCTTTGGCGTCCTCTCATTTGGTCATTGTTTATTGAACTATCACTACACAGCACTCACCTGAGATATGAAAGAATAAGTTACAGATATGAAGATGTTTATTTAAATCTTTAAATAGATTAGGTCAGTTTAAATTGTTGCACATTAAAAGAATCTTTAAATATTATATTTTCTATACTTTAGTTATGTTGATTTAAAATATTAGTACCTCATAATCATATTCATTCATATTTCTCAGTTACCAGGATTTTTTATTAATTGGTCTTCCCATGTTTGCCCTAGCTGAACAAGCCATTTAGTGAAATTAGTTGTTTGGACCCAAACTACAAGTAAATATAGTTACCCTAGTATGACTTGATAATATGTTAATGATAACCTGTTAAAACGAGTGTTTTATTCCACTTCTGGAATAGTAATACATAGTACTTTGACTTTCAGAGTAATGGAAAAAGATCCTTTCCATGCAAATTGTTTACCTGTGCACATAGGGACTCTTGTGGAACTAAATAAAGCAAATGGTAAGAATTTTATTTTTAAGCTAAAATGGTAATTAAGGTTGCATAAAGTATTATAATGTGGTGGGGGGAGGAAGGGAAGAGAGATTTAAATCTATTAGTCTTTTAAAGTCAAAAGATTTCTTTAAGTCCTGAAATTTGGTCATATAAACAAACACCCAGGTAACTGAGTGTTTTGGTAGCAAAAAATATAATAAGGAAAAATGAAGAAAATTATGTTATAAATTAAAAATAGCATAGTTAATTGGAGAAAAAAAATTAATCCATCTGTAGAACAAATATATTTCAGCATGCTAGATGGAATACTTTATTCCCAGTTTTCCTGCTTCCAGTCATAGAGAGGTCATAAAGACTATAAATTTCAAAAATATAATAAAATTTCTTGAGTTATAAGGGACCTCAGGTCATTTTAGTTCAACTAGTATCTGAGCAGGAATGTTCTCTCTAACATCCCAAACATTGAGCCTCTACCTGAAGAATTCCAGTGATAAGGAACTTGCTACTTTTTTTAGTAATACTTTATTTTTTTCCAATTACATATAAAAACACTTTTTAACATTTGTTTTTTACAATTTTGAGTTCCAAATTCTCTCCCTCTTCTCCTCTCCTGTCTTCCTGATATGGCAAGCAGTTGATATAGGTTATACGTGTACAATCATGCAAAATATGTTTCCATATTAGTCATGTTGTAAAAGAAAGCAGAGACAAAAACAAAGTTAAAAATAGTATGCTTTGATCTGCATTCAGCTTCTATTAGTTCTTTCTCTAGAGGTGAATAGCGTTTTTCATCATAAGTCCTTTGGAATTGTCTTGGATCTTTGAATTGCTGAGAATAAGTTATTCACAGTTGATCATCATATAGTATTATTGTTATTGTATACAGTGTTCTGGTTTTGCTCAGTCATGTAAGTTCATTTCAGTCTTTCCAGGTTTTTCAGAAAGTATCCTCTCATAGCACATCTTATAGCTCAGTAGTATTCTATCACAATCATGTACCATAACTTGTTCAGCCATTCCGTAATTGATGTACATCCCCTGAATTTCAAATTCATTGCCACCATTAAAAGAGCTGCTATAAATATTTTGTACATATAGGTACTTTTCCTTTTTTTAATTTCTTTGGAATACAGACCTAGTAGTGGTATTGCTGGATTAAAGGGTATGCACAGTTAATTGCTCTTTGAGGATAATTCCAAATTGCTCTCTGGAATGGTTGTATCAGTTCACAATTCCACTAACAGTGCATTAAGTGTCCTCAGTTTCCCACATCCCATCTCACATTTATCATTTTCCTTTTCTGTAATATTAGCCAATCTGATAGTTTTGAGGTAGTATCTCAAAGTTGGTTTTATTTGTATTTCTCTAATCAGTAGTGATTTAGAGCATTTTTTCAAATGACTATAGATAGCTTTGATATCTTCTTCTGAAAACCACCTATTCATGTTCTTTGACCATTAATCAATGGGGGAATGACTTATATTTTTATAAATTTGACTCAGTTCTCTATATATTTGAGAAATGAGGCCTTTATCAAGAAACTTCCTATAAAATTATTTCCCGTTTTTCTGCTTTCCTTCTAATCTTGGCAGCATTGTTTTTTTTTGTTTTGTTTTTGTGCAAAATCTTTTTAATTTATGGAATTAAAACTACCCATTTAACATTCTGTAATGCTGTCTCTTGTTTTGTCATAAATTCTTCCTTTATCTATAGATCTGACAAGTAAACTATTCCATGCTCCCCTAATTTGTTTATGTTTTCTGCCAAAATGCTTTGTAGTTTTTCCAGCACTCTTTTTGTTAGATAGTGAGTTCTTGTCACAAAACCTGGGGTCTTTGGGTTTTTCAAACACTAGATTACCATGGTCATTACTGACTATGTTTTGTGTACCCAGTCTATTCCACTGATCCACCACTCTGTGTCTTAGCCAGTACCAAATTGTTTTGTTGATTACCACTTTGTAATACAGTTTGAGATCTGGTATGGCTAGGCCATCTTCCTTCACATTTTTTTCATTAATTCTCTTGATATTCTTGACCTTTTGTTCTTCCAGATGAATTTTGTTAATTACTTTTTCTGGCTCCATAAAATAATTTTTTGGTACTGTGGTATGGCATTAAATAAGTAAATTAATTTATGTAGAATTGTCATTTTATGTCATTTTATCAGCCTACCCATGAGCAATTAATATTTTTCCAGTTCAGATCTGACTATCAGTATGAAAATTGTTTTGTAATTGTGTTCATATAGTTCTTGGGTTTGTCTTGGTAGATAGACTCTCAAGTATTTTATATTGTCTACAGTTATTTTAAATAGAATTTTCTCTTTTTATCTCTTGCTGCTGAACTTTGTTGGTAATATATAGAAATGCCGATGATTTATGTGAGTTTATTTTATATCCTGCAACTTTACTAAAGTTGTTAATTATTTCAACTAGTGTTTTAGTTGATTCTCTAGGAGTCTTCAAGTATACCGTCATATCATCTGCAAAGAATGATAGTTTTGTTTCCTCATTGTGAATTGTAATTCCTTCTATTTCTTTTTCTTCTCTTATTGCTACAAGTAGCATTTCTAGTACAGCACTGAATAGTGATGTATGGGCAGTGATGATGGGCATCCTTTCTTGACTCCTTATCTTATGGTGAGGGCTTCTAGCTCATCCCCATTATGGATAATGTTTGGTGATGGTTTTAGATAAACACTGTTTATAATTTTCAAGAAAGCTCCATTTATTCCTATGCTTTCTTTAATAGGAATGAGTACTGTATTTTGTCAAAATACATCTTTTGAGATAATCATATAATTTCTGTTGGTTTTGTTATTGATATATTATTCATCCATAGTTTTCTTTCCCTGTTTTTCCTCTCCCTGGTTTATATATCAGCATCATATTTGTGTCATAGAAGGAATTTGTTAGAATTCTTCTTCTTTGCCTGTTTTTCCAAATAGTTTACATAGTATTGGAATTAATTGTTGTTTGCATGTTTGGTAGAGTTCACTTGTAAATCCGTCTGATCCTGAGGACTTTTTCTTAGGGAGTTCACTGATGGCTTGTTCAATTTCCATTTCTAAGATGGAGTGTTTAAGTATTCTGTTTCCTCTTCTATTAATCTGGGTAATCTATATTTTTGTAAATATTCACCCATTTCACTTAGATTGTCAGATTTATTGGCATACAATTGGGCAAAATAGCTCCAAATAATTAATTGCTTTAGCTTCATCTTAACTGGTGGTGAATTCGTCTTTTTCACTTTTGACACTGGTAATTTAGTTTTCCTCTTTTTTTAAAAAAATCAAATTAACCAATGAATATTTTTTTTTTAAATAAAACCAGCTTTAGTTTTATTTATTAGTTCAGTGGCTTTCTTTCCATTTTATTAATCTCTCCTCTGATTTTTCAGGATTTCCAGTTTGGTGTTTAATTGAGAGTTTTCAATTTGTTCCTTTTCTAGTTTTCTTCAGTTGCATGTCCAATTTGCTTTTCCACTCTTTTTCTGTTTTATTGATGTAAGTGTTTAGAGATATAAACTTTCTCCTGGGTACTGCTTTGGCTGCATCCCATAAATTTTGGTATGTTGTCTCACTGTTGTCATTCTCTTTAATTAAATTATTGATTATTTCTGTGATTTGTTCTTTGACCCACTTATTCTTTAGGATTAGATTATTTAGTTTCCAATTTTGTATCTATTCTTTCCACTGCCCTTTATTGAATGTTATTTTTATTGCATTATGATCTGAAAAGGATACATTTAATATTTGGGCTTTTTCTGCATTTGGTTGTGAGTTTTTTGTGCCTTAATACATGGTCGATTTTTGTATAGGTGCCATGTACCACGATAAAAAGGTATATTCCTTTCTGTTACTATTCAGTTTTCTCCAAAAGTCTATCATACCTAACTATTCCAATGTTCTGTTCATCTTTCTAACTTCTTTCTTATTTATTGTTTGGTTAGAGTTAATCTAGTTCTGAGAGGGGAAAGTAGAGGTCTCTTACTAGTATAGTTTTACTCTTTCCTCCTGTAACTCATTTAACTTTTCCTTTAAGAATCTGGATGCTATCCATTGGTATGTATATGTTTAATATTACTGTTACTTCATTGTCTATGGTGCCTTTGAGCAAGATTCAGTTTACTTGCTTATCTCTTTTAATTAGGTCTGTTTTTGCCTTTGCTTTGTCTGAGATCGTGATTGCTCCCCTTGCTTTTTAACTTCACTTGAAGCATAGCAGTTTCTACTCCAGCCCCTTACATTTGCTCTTTGTATATCTCTATGCATCAGGTGTGTTTCTTGTGAACAATGTATTGTAGGATTCTGGTTTTTAATCCACTCTGCTATCCACTTCCATTTTATGGGTGAGTTCATCCCAATCTCATTCACAGTTACCATTACTGTGTATTTCCCTTTATCTTATTTTTCCCCTTTTTATCCTTCTCCCTTTCTCTCTTTTCACTCTGTCTTTTCTCACTATTGTTTAGCTTCTGACCACCAACTCCCCTAATCTGCATCCTTCTCTTAGCCCCCTCCCCTCCCACTTCCCTGTAGGTTAAAATAGATTTCTATTAAGTGTATATGTTATTCCCTCTTTCACCCAGTTCTGATGAAAGTAAAGTTCAAGCATTGCCTACCAATTCCCCCTCCCCCAATTTTTCCCTCCATTATAAGAGGTTTTTCATGCTGCTTTTATGTGAAATAATTTACTCTATTCTGTCTCTCCCTTCCCTCTTCTCCCAGTCCATCCCTCTTTCTCAGCTCTTAATTTTGTTTGTTTGACTATCATCCCATCAAAGTCAATTCACACTCATGCTTTTGGTCTGTGTATACTCCTCTTAGTTACAAGTATCATCTTCCCATGCAGGAATGTAAACAGTTTAACTTTATTGAGTACCTTGTGATTTCTTTTTCCTGTTTACCTTTTTGTGCTTCTCTTGAGTCTTATATCTGAAAATCAAATGTACTATTCAGCTTTGGCGTTTTCATAAGGAATGCTTAAAAAGTCTTCTATTTCA